TTTAAATGCAGCTGCTGTCATCTGACCATTAACTTAAATAGGTGACAGCTGCCACTTGAAAACGGCAGATTAGCGATTCCTGCTGCAGGAAATCGCAAGTTCCTGATGCAAGAATCCTTAATCGCACCTAAAATATAGGTGCGAATGAAGCCTAACTATCCAGCCAACCAAGGGGAACCAATCAGAATACACTTTACTAAAACCAGAGCAGTACAGCATGGATTCTAATTGGTTTCTATGTGTACCTTACACTGTTCCTTGCACCTTTTTACTCTATAAGCCTTCAACTACTATTGATCCGATTTAAAGATTTAAAGAGAACCTACCATAAAATGTAACTTAATAGACTAACAGGAGATCATAAAAGCAAGCACCAAGGGACCTCTGCACATGCATTTACATGTGTCAAAATCTTCTTCCTTTCTACTGGTCCCTGAGGAATCCTATAATAGAGGGGCAGTGGTGAGAGTTACCAGTGCTCCAAGCTGGAATCAAGACAAGGATATGTATTTAACTTGCATTGCCTGTTATTATGCTGTGCTAGTAATCTATCTTTCGAAGAAGATACTAATGGTGAGTATTATACATAAATTTTTCAAAGCTGTAATAAAAAAAAGCATCCTAAAGCTGGCCATACAACTGTCATTTTCTTTCGTTCAACCCGCACGCTGAACAGAAGAAATTGACGCGATTGCTCCATCAACACAAACAGCGCTTTGATCGAGGAATTGCCGCAGTTTTCATTGCATTCTGACAGGTGCCGCCGCCACCTGTCAGAATAGCGGGCAGCTCATTGGCTGCCGGCTCTGACCTTACAAAGGTTTTACAGCCTGCTCCTTCGATCAGGTGATCGAGGAATGCAGGGTAAAAGGGAGCTGACAGCCCCATACACTGGTCAAATTTCATGCGGTACATTATAAACCGAAATTTGGCCAGTGTATGGACACTTTAAGTAATGGCAGCATCTTTTTAAGTTACATTTTATGACAGGTTCTCTTTCCTTCTCAGAGAATCAGTGTGCCACTTTATTATTCATTTGTGGTTTCAGGTGCACTTTATGGAAAACAAAACCCATATCTACTGTAGCACTTCCAAGAACTGCAAGAGCTAACAGGAAATAGTAAATTCAATTAGCCAAGCAACACACTAGACAATTCAAAATTGAATTGTTCTGAAACAAGAAGAGCTAATCTGATTACTGTTATGATGCATTGTGATAACATTAAATAAATCTATGTTAAATTTGCAGTCGACAATTCAGCTGCAGTGAGTATTTTACAACTAGAATATAATCACATCTAACTGTTTTCTTATTCTTAGAATTATTTTTTACTCAGAAAGAATGAAATAGTTGGCCGTGGTTCTCAGCATTGGGCAGTTTGATATTGACTGTTATCAATATACTGCGTACTGCCGGTGCTCATTGCTGATATTGCCACTTAAAAAGCTTGTCATATAGCACAACTACTGTCAGCATTGTATAAAAACAATAAAGAATTTTCTAAATGACAGTTTATTTTCTTCCAGCCCAAGCTCAAGCAATAGATAGGTCATCCTCTGTTACAGCAATGGGCTTGTATATTTCTGGCAAAGTGAATACAAGTGAATAATAGCACACACAGCTAGTGTGGAGGGGCTAGGTTACGTTATTATAACAATTTAAAGCAAATCTGTCTTTTTATAGTTAGGGACCTTATGAATAAGCACTTTCACATGCAAATTGTATCAAGAATTTCAAATTGATTAGCTCCTGTAATAAACCTACGATCAAAGAGATGAGCAGTGTAGACCCATTTTTTCTTGGACATTTATCTAGTGAATTTGACCAGGCAAAGAGCCACAATCTGAAACTGCCTAGGTGAATGAGATATGCAGGTCTCCCATGTGGCAGCAGTGAGTTAAGTGTAGAATTTGTCACTTTGTCCTCTAAGGAAAAAGTGACAGGATCTCTTGCTAGGGTTTTTCCCCCATTGATTCTTGCTTTTCACGTGCTCTTTCAATGCTCCGTTCGTCTGCAGGAGTGCTGAGTCTAAATCCCGTGTAAGGAAAGGGTTTGCTTCTTCCACAAGGTTAATGACCTTCTCCCCTCCATCATGCAACAGTGTTCAGGCTTGGCAACTGGATACTCCAGATGCAGCATTGCATCCATGAGTGCAGTGGAGAAGAACACATTTCCCATACTCAGAAAAATTGGGTATTTTTCAGCGCTCATGTATAGAGAAGCATGCTGAAGGTGAGTAATTTTTAGTTAAGTTGTCCCTTAAATGTTCCCCACCTACCAAAATAATTACCTTTAGCCCCACGTTTAAGGGCTTCACTGTGTGGCATTGCCCAGCGATACATAACTTTTAAAGAAATAAGTCTCAGCTATGTCCAGCTCCTACTGGGCATACCCACTGCTGAGCTCAAGTCTGTGGCTCATCAGAACTAATTGTGGCCCCAGCTCAATGCTATATGATAAATTATAACAGGGATGCAGCATGGCACAGAATTATACGAGATACTGTAGACTTGCCCAGAGAAAGTGTTTGAACTAGGGATGCACCGATACCACTTTTTTAAGGCCGAGTACGAGTACCGATACTTTTTCCAAGTACTACTTTTTCTTAAAGGGACAGGTCAAATTTTTTTCTAAAGCAATGCAAAATCATGATTTTAGGTCAGTTTCTTAATATTATGAAGAACATGAATACTCTGTAGTGTGGCACTGCTATATCCAATTCTGCATACCTGGCTTTATATTATAAGAACTTTATAATATAAAGTTAGGTATGCAGAATTGGATACAGCTGTGCCACACTATACAATAATACACTGTTCTGGAGTCTGGACACATGATCATCTATTTTCCCAAGAAAAAGAAGTGAGATGATCTGAGGGGGATCAGCTCAAAGTACAGCTAGTAAGGAGGGTTGGAGAGTCAAAATATGATACAAAATATTATACATTTATTATTTAAAATCTCATTGGACATACTAAATGCACCAGTTAACACCAACACCAGTTCAACATCTAAAATTGGTTATTGCAACAACCCATTCACTCATAAAACACAGAAATGCACTCTGAGGATGAGCTGATCAGCATAATAAATGGTACCGGATTAAACTCAAAAATTTGCATTTCTGTGTTTTATGAGTGAATGGGTTGTTGCAACAACCAATTTTAGATGTTGAACTGGTGTTGGTGTTAACTGGTGCATTTAGTATGTCCATTGAGATTTAAAATAATACGGTAAATGTATAATATTTTGTATCATATTTTGAGTCTCCGACCCTCCTTACTAGCTGTACTTTGAGCTGATCCCCCTCAGAAATCTGACATCAAGAAATAATATACACTCAGATTTAAAAAAAAAAATAGCTTCCTGGCTATAACAATATTCAAATTTACCCTGACCTGTAAGCAGGAACTATAGCATGGCAAGCTGTGGCAGTTCTTGCTATGATGTGAAAGTATGCATAGGATACTTGCCTATTACATTTGGGCTTACCTTTAAGTTTGCTCTCTTCCAGCACTGACAGCTCCATGCTCTTTGTTGTTACTGCCACTGCCATCTTCTCCACCACTTCTTCCCCATTCAGCATCTTCTTACTTCAGCCATTGGGCCGCCACTGATGTAATATTTGTGCATGTGTGTGTGTGTGACATTAGTCCAGCACCTCCACTGGGGAAAGGTTTTTTTGGGGGCAGGAGAGACACGCTATTGAGCATGTTTATAAAGCAGTGACTGTGACTTTCACTAAATATTTAAAGGAGAACTATGAGGTGAGTGCTTTTCACTCACCTCATAGTTCTAGCCGACCTGTGACAATGAGACTGTCACAGGTCGGCTCAGTAGATCGGGAGGTGAGCGAACACATACCGGCGTTCGCTCACCTCTCGATCCTGTCACGGCTCTCTGCCGTGACAGGGGAGGGGGCTGGATTCCCCCCTCCCCGCTCCGATCCGCCAGGGCTGACTGGCGGAACGGACAGGGGAGGGGGCGGGTACAGCTGGCTCTGCCTCTAGATAGGCAGAGCCAGCTGTCAGTCACGCAGCTGGGCTGATCCAGCGCCTCAGTATACTGCTCGCGGTATCCTGCGGCGTCTCAGTATACCGGGAGCTACAGTTCGCGGTATACTGAGCCTAGGGTGACGGGAGGACGCTAGTTTGTGTCCTCCAGTTACCCTAAGGAGAACTATGGGGAAAAGCCTTAACCCCATAGTTCTCCTTTAATAGATTGAATCAACCACTGCTATTTAAAACACATGTGCCTGGAAGATTTACCTGCACTAAATGTTTGGTGAATCTCAGATTCACTGCTTTATAAATATGCCCCTATGTGTTCCAACCTTTTTTTTCTTTTTTGACTTTAGTTCCACTTTAGCAGTACACAGATGTACTTTTTGTTATTAAAAGTCTGCGTAAAATGTAATACATTACACAGAACTGTACACTAAATAATAAAGCTGGCTAAATGACAACCAAGACATGACACAGCAGGACCTGGAATAGCAAGCTTACGATCTTGGATGCTCTTTATGTGTCTCTTCTAAAACTCTATATAATTCTAAGATGTAATTTTAAGTATTTAAAGGTTGCCAGACTCTTTAGAAGGATTATTCTGTACTACAAGAAAATAAACCTCATTGAAGGAAGTTTGGAAAGATGCAAACACACTTTCTAAAGATAAGTACAAATAATTATAAACCACGGGTTTCTTGGATATGGCTTTCTTGCAATTTGTATGAAAATAAAAATATTTTGTTCATTCAACAGATAGTGCCCTGCTGGTTGGTGAGAAAGGTGGTTGAATGGTGCTTATTTAGCAAAGTGCTTTGCTGGATTAAGTTACAAATCAATTATCTACAAGTGTTTCCATACAAAAGCCATTGAAATATACTTGGTGTATTCAGACAGCTTCCACAGTCAGTGTCCTGGAGAAGTGGCACATCTTTGAAAGCAAAATGGTAATTATGCTGAAAAACATACATATATATAAAGGACTACACTCATTGCATGTCTTTATCAAGAAACACTCAGATCTGCCAGGCAGCTAGCCATACAATGGTAAGAATGACTAGCTTAGGGTATCCTCTTATTATATCTTTATCTATTCTATCCCAAGGCTTCCTTTTTTCATTTTCAAAGTCCATCCGCAAATCAGAGAATGATGAAGTCTTACTAGATACAATTGCTCTAAGAAAAGCATTACGCGATGGAGACACGGCAGAGAAATCTGTAGCTAATCCACCAGATCATTACTCAGACGAAAGCTCAAACTTGAATGAGGAAGAGGAAAGAAGTATAAAGGTAAGAGGCATGTCTTTCATTGTAAAGGGAAATTATACAGGGTTATTCACAAAAGGGTGAAGAGTTTGGAGAAGGCAGAAGAGGTGAACAATCTAGGACAAAATAGCTGAACTGGAAAGAGAGCTGAATTGGAGAATGTTTCCAAATCACCTATTTTGGCCTAGATTGTTCACTTCTCCGGCCTTCTCCAAACTCTTCACCCTTTTGTGAATAACCCTGATAGTCTTCTTGCAATTTATATATATAAATAGCTTCATATACATTGGTTTGTCACTGAGAGTTTTTTTTTTAAATCCTTGTTGATATTTATAACTTGTAAATATATACAGTATACTGTGTGTGTGTGTGTGTGTGTGTGTATATATATATATACTTTAGAGCAGCCATATTTCCTGATTACATATACAGGCTTTGCTTCCTGCTTAGAAATAATTCACAATTACTCTGTTTCTCTGCTCCTCTTTCTTAATGCACGTCTATGGGTTTGGTTTGAACTCTTAATTAAAGTTAAAATGGACTAGGAGGAGGAAATGTATTAGGAGGGGGAAAATTAGAATTAGAGATAGCCCAAAAAAGGACGCATGGAAGTAAAGAAGAACAGAAGATAACAGAATGGTGGCAGATTCAAAAATATAAAAGCACCAACACATAGAATTTAACTAAGCTCACCTTCCAACCAAGTTTTAACCGCTTGAAGACCAGGTGTTTACACCCCCTTCCCGGCCAGGCTATTTTTCAGTATTCAGCCCTGCGGTACTTTGACTGACATTTATTCTGTCATGCAACGCTGTACTGAAATGAATTTTATACCATTTTTTGGGGACAGATAGAGCTTTCTTTTGGTGGTATTTAATCACCACTGGGGGTTTTATTTTTTACTATATTCAGGAGAAATTACGGAAAATTTTGAAAAACAAAACGTTTTTTTAACATTATGTTATAAAACAACTAATATTACCCACTTTTTTGGTAAAATATATATGACGGGGTCACGTCGGGTAAATAGACACCAAACATGTCAAGCTTAAAAATTGTGCGCACTCGCGAAATCGCAAAAAACTAGCATACCCAAAATTGGCCATAGGCGACGCTTTAAAAAAAGCTTTTACAGCTCATCAGTTTAGTGTTATCAGTGATTGATGGCCCTAGAATTATTGCTCTCACTGCGACGTTCGCGGCGATATGTAACATGTGTGGCGTAATGTTTCGCAGGTATGCGCACCTGACGCATGTTTACATGCGTGTATGTAGGGGTGGGGACTTTAAAAAAAAATTTAATTCTTTTTTTATGTGTAACTCAAAAAAAATTGGGGGGAAACTTGTTTTCCTATTTTCTTTCCCACTTAACTTTATTGCTATCACAGAGGGGGCTAAGAAACCCCTATATGTGATAGCAAAAGAAGTGACAGGTCCTCTTTATGGAGACATCAGGGGTCTCCAAGACCCCTAATGTCACCTAGGACCCCCCTGAAGAAGCTGATGAAGCAGAGATCTGCTTCATCAGCTTCTCTCCAGCATCTGAAGCTGGAGAGTGACACGAGAATGCGGAAGTGATGTAATATACACCACTTCCGCATTCTGACAGCGGAGAGGGGACCGGAGGGAGATCGTGAACCGACCTCCCTCTAATCCCCTGTCAGAGAGCCACTATGCTGGTCCCGGGCTCGCACCGGGCACAGCGGAACCCGGGATCAGCGTGACAGCGGGAGAAGGGGAGCCGCGGAGGGGGGGGCGCACATCCCGGGACCCCATTTCAAGTGTCCTTGTCGTGACCTGCGTTGATCTGGTTCAGTACAATGCAGGTTACGGCTAGATGTGTGAACAAGCCCTTAAAAACACACATACCTCCCTAAGAATCCTCTCTAAAAAAAACACCATGAACAAACCACCAGCTGAATGACCCGGGTTATGTATCCACAAATTAAATACAACAGTTTGTAAAACCTTTAGAAGCACATGAACATGCTATAAAACGTTGTTAAATCCCTTACGCTTGTAGTAGTATTAAATGGATCACACCTTCAATGCATATGATATAGCATAGCAAATAAGCCAAATATTTATTGCAAATAGACATACCTTGATAAAATTCCACATGTCAGGAATGTAAGGCTGGGCACACACCTTACAACCATCGCAAGACTTTTGTCTTGCGATGGTTGTAAGGTACTTAAAAAAACGTACGATCTGCCTATGTTGCATAGGCAGATCGTACTTGCGATGATCGCAAGCCACGCCCCCTGAGGGGCGAGCTTCCGATGACCGCAATGCCGAACGGGCAGTGTGCGCTTGCGCACACCGGCCCGTGCGGCTGTTATCGTACGGACATGCCACAAACCCGCCGAACATCGTACGATGCTCGGCGGGTTTTCAAACATGTCCGTAAGGTCGCACGGCTTCCACACACCTTACGATCATCGTACGATCGCGGGATTTCCCGCGATTATCGTACGATAATCGTAAGGTGTGTGGGGACCTTAACTGTGCAGAAATTAATAAATAACCCCAAAACAGGTAATGAAATAAGAGAGTACCTAACATATTGCAACAAAATGGAGTGAGTCATCACCCTTGTACATTTGATGTCTTGATAATTATAGATAAACTACTTACTCATGCCAGAGAAAATCCCACTCCAATTCAAAGGATGGAAATGTTAAATAAGCAATAGATTGCAATAAAAAATGGCGAGGCATACTTAGAGAGGTCCTCTGCCCCATATCACACAGCAATATATACATGTCACTTTAGAATGAAATACAAGCACCTCCCATAGATATTGCAATAAGCCATTCCACACTGTAAATAGGATAGGTAAAGGAAAAACCTGAATTAATAACCCTGCATGTAGTTGGGAGGGGGGAGCCTCCCGGGAAAAAGAAAGATCTGGCATCAGAGTGGAATAACCTAGATGTGGTTGCCCACTGCTTCATCAGGATGGTGCAATCAGACACTAATGTACCTTGATCTTAGAGGTCAGGTGGTGTCTCTTTGGAAGTTTTCCTTGTTTTTTGGTTTACCAATCGCACCATCCTTCTGTTCAGTCTGGGGTTGATTTTTTCCCTTGCAGCCATATCCAGGGAGGTTAGCTACTCTCCCATAAACATCTTAATAATCAGGGCCGCCGTCAGGGGGGTACGGCCGACACTCAAGTAAGGGGCCCGCCCAGCCTCAGGGGCCCGCGAACCTTACCTGGGTGACGGCCATAAAGGTGACTGAAGGCAGCCGGGCCCCGCAGCACCGGAGGAAGCCGGGGCCCGCACACTCCACATCGTAACCTCGGATGCTGTGCGAGCCTCCGGTGTCCCCCCTGTGTCAACTGCACATTAGGTTTTTAAAGATGGCCGCCGCAAGTAGCCCACATCCCATTTAAGATATTGCCGAAACAGCAATATATTAAATGAAAATCATTCCCTGGTGGGGAATCAGTATGATCTGCATCTCTTGCTGATGCAGACCATACTGATCGCTCCCTCGTGGTGCCTCTGCTAACATGCAGGGAGCGATTAGTATGTCTGCACCAGCCAGAGTGCAGAGCACACTGATTCTTCACTGAAGCCCAGGGATGCAGCCCCCCTTCCTGCAAAACAGGTAAGCAGGAGAGGGGGACATTTTTTATGAACTATTATTGGTTGTGAGAGTGTGTTTTATTGTGTGTTTTTTAATGAGTGTGTGTAATTTTTTTAGTGTGTGATATGTGTGGGATATGTGTGTTTCATTATGTGTGTGTGTGTGTGGTTTTTTTTTAACCATGATTGCTGTTTAAATACAAGCGATCCGGCGTCTGTATAGACGCCGGATCAGTTGTACAATACGGCGCCGTGTCCCCTCTGCAGCCGCTGGTGCTGCCGCCGTCAGCTTCCTGGGCTCATCTGTCCCTCGTGTGAGCCCGGGACCGGCGTGGAGGGTCTCCCCTGACAGATCGAAGGAGAGATCAGCAGCTTCTAGCTGCGGACTTCTCCTCTGATCACTGGACATCGGAAGTGAGGTGCATTTCATCACTTCTGGTGTCACTGGGTACATTCGCCAGCTCCTAGAGCCAGAAAAAGAAGCTGGTGAAGCAGATCTCGGCTTCATCAGCTTCTTTAGGGTCCCTAGGTGACACTAGGGGTCTGCAAGAACCCTGATGTCTCCTTAAAGAGGACCTGTCACATATTTGCTATTACATAGGGGACTTGTTAGCCCCCTATGTGATAGCAATAAAGCTGAGTGTGAAAAGAAAATTTAAATAATTAAAGTAACAAAAAAAAGTCAAAAAACATTTTTTTAACCACTTGAAGTCCGCGGTGTTACACCCCCTTCCTGTCCCCGCCATTTTTCAGTATTTAGCGCTGCAGTACTTTGAATGACATTTATTCCGTCATGCAACGCTGTACTGAAACTAATTTCGTACCATTTTTTGGGGGACTCATAGAGCTTTCGTTTGGTGGTGTTTAATATTACCAAAATGTAAAAAAAAAACTGTTCCCCTATAATAAATTATAAAACATTTATTATTACACAATTTTTTGGTAAAATATAAAAGGCGGGGTCACGTCGGGTAAAAAGACAGCAAACATGTTAAGCCTTAAAATTGCGCGTGTGCGCGAAACCTCAAAAAACTACAATATCAAAAATTTTAGAGTGTAAGCTCCTCTGTGCAGAGACTAATGTGACTGGCTCAGTGTGGCGGCGGTGCCCCGAAATTTCTGATGGCTGCCCTGTTAATAATATTTGCAAATGTAGTCACAAGAACATCTAGGTGCTTGGAGATGGTTTTATAGCCTTTAAATGTGACATTCTGGTTTATAATTTTCTTTCCGATCTCCTTACACAAATTTCTCCTTTGCTTTCTTTGGTCCATGTTCAGTTTGGTGCACATGACACCAAACAGAGTGACTACTTTTCTCCCCGTAAATAGGCTGACTGACTGATTACAAGATTGAAGACCTAGGTGATACTAATTACAGAAAACAGTTAATTTAAAATATCACTATGATTCATTTATTCATCATGCTTTTTAGGGGTACCACCAAATCAAATCAGGTCATTTTAGAATATCTCTTTAGAATATGCAATCATTTATCTCTTTTCACATTTTGTTTGCTTTATTAAATGACATGCATGCAGGTATACAAGAGACTTTTAATTTTATCAGATATTAGGAGTAGGGATGCAGCGATATATCAGCTGCCGAAACATATCAGCCCCAAATTGCACTTTTGGCTACATGCCGAAAGTGGCATTTTCCTGCTGATACATCCGCGCATCCCAGGTTTCTTTCCTCCCCGCTGGGCTCTGCTCTGTGTCCTAGCGGGGAGGAGAGAAAGTGACAGCCGGCCGAGCACTGCGGGAGGAGAGCGCTGTGAGCGTCCGGTGTCTCTCCTCCCACACCGCTCAGCCTATCACAGTCCGGCAGAGCGGTGTGAGGGCGGAGATAGCCCACGCTGTCACAGGAGGCTCCCACACCGCTCGCTCAGCCTCCTGTGACAGCGTGTCAGAGAGGAGAGCAAGAGCAAACACTCAGCGATCAGTAATCGCTGAGTGTTTGTACATAATTGAGGACATGGTATGTTGACTATATCCTCAATTATGAATGAATGGAAAGTGATCTACATCACCTGCTGTTCATTCATGATTGTGGTTATAGTAAACACACTATGTTCTCATGTTATCAATGAACAGGAACACTCAGAGGATTCCTGTTCATTGATAACTGGGGATACAGAAAAAGAGATTGAGGACTCTGTGTCCTCAATCTTTTTCTATTTTAAAAGAGAGATATCAGGGATCTGTAAAAATATTTAATAAAAAATGAATTAAATAAAAAAAATGTAACAGTTTATAAAAAATCAAATATTTGAAAAAAAAAACATTTTCGGTTTCGGCCTGACAATTTTTAAAATTTTGGTTTTGTTCCGGTTTTCAAATTTCTATTTCAGTGCACCTCTAATTAGGAGGAATGAATCACTGTTTTAATGAGCCGTAAGGGTATCAACACATTTGTGCCGGTCTGAAAATAGAGAATCCAGTCTTTTAACAGCTGGACCTTTCAGGCACATCCATCCAATTGAAGTACCATTAGAGAAAGTCAGTAAGCAAGATAATAACAATAAGGTGTATTTAATTTTAAATGACTTGTCTTCACACCTGGAGTTTTAAAAGAACATGGCTTATTAGTTGCCCCTGAGGACCAGTCTGAGAGCTACTGTATTGAAGATACGGTAGTAGAGGTTTAGGTTTCAATATGTGTGTGTCAAACATATCCTTTAAAAAACTGAAGAATGCATTTGCTAATTCCATTTTTGCAAAATTTGTCTACATTTCTTTCCCCTAGAGTTTGGGTTCTCGGAACAGTTATTTCAGTCAAGATGTTATTCCTCTAGGCACTGGAATGAAGAAAATGGCCTTTTCACCACTTAAAAGCTCTCTAAGACATGCAGAAATTGGGAATGAGAATGTTGAGTTGACACATGAAAGAAGGGATATTGGAGAAGAGGAAAATAAGTTCCCAATAGGAAGGCGAGATTTTGACAGTAAGTATTTAATAGAAATCCCTGGATAACAATTTGCTTTCAGCTAATATGCAAATTATGAGATCACCAGAAACAGGAAACCAGCGCAATTTGTGATCTGTGCCTATATAGCATAAAAGTCAGAATTCGTTTTTAATCCTTCCAAAGGGGATCCAATAATCTATTGGTGAAAAACTCTTAAGGGCTGTCATTACTTTTAACCATTGCCGAAAACAGAGCAAATTATTTCCCCCTGAATGTGTGCTTGTTTATCTAAAAGTGTAGCAGGATTATCTTATGTTGCTAGTTTTAGATGCAGTGGAGCTTTAATGCACTTAGGAAATCCATCAGAATTAACAGGTGACAAGGTAAAAACATAGCTGCCAAACAGGAGAGCACTTGTCAGCTCTCCTCTGGTTATGGACCACAAGGCATAGGACACCTTGGGCATGTCATAGTGCAAACTCTGAGTCACACAAACTCCTCCCACACCTTTGTAACTGGTAAAGGGAAAGCATAAAGCGGTCTAGTTTAGCAAGTCACAAACAACTCGGTAGATTCGATAATTAAAATGCATAGCAAAATGCAGACTCACATGCAAAGGCCACTGATTTAAAATACTATAATGACAGCAAGCCTGAATGAATTTATATCCATATTTTTACCTGCCATTTTACAGTACAGTGGCCATTCTTTGAAATAAGTGTCACATTATTGAGACCTATACTCATCATGCATGTCATTGTTATGGGTGGTTTTCCCAGGTAGCAATATCAGTATTTTTTGCAGCTGCAGGAGAATGGACACTGGTAAACAAAGCTGTAAGGAAAAACCTGTATAATACCTCCCACTCCCACCAAGCCTTTATTTTGTAGGAAGCAATAAAAGGAGCTAAAAAGTGGGGATTGACCTGTATGTAATGTACTCCAAGAAAAGGATCGTACAAGCAAGACAAAAATCCTGTTTTTCTGATTGCACATTGCCGGACACAAGATTACGTTTTCTGGACCATGGGATCTCGAAAAGCAGTCCAACTGAGGAGTGGGCAACACAGCAAATGAACGGTGAACAACTAACTGGTTCACAAAATACAACACAGGAACAGATAGGACTCTACTGAGGCCTAAATGCTGATCTGGTGAAACTTGACAAACATGTCAACCAAAGACCAAGTGGCAGACTTGCAAGTAACTTGAGCCTGATGCTGGAAGGCCCAGAAAGCACTAACAGTGCACATTGAACGGGGAAGGTGGAACCTTGCCCTCAAGGTTTATGAGCATGAATAATGAGTTGTCATATCCATCTAGCGATAGTGGAATGAGAAGCCACCTGACTCCTGAAGGAATCTTCAGGCATGGCAAATAGAGTTGTACTGACTTTAAAAAGCTGTAGCTGGGAGATAAATTTAAATAACATGTAACACATGCAAAATATGAAGGGAAATGTCATTAGCTTGTTTAGATGCAGGACTTCTTGATGGTAAGACAATGTCCTAGTTAGCTGGAAAGGAAGAAACCAAACCTCAAAACAACCTTGTATAGCACAAGAAAAAGTTGTTTACAGGTTAAGGCCACCAACTCAGAAATTCACCATGAGGACAAATAAATATTCCTAATAGGCTCAAAGGTGGCCTCTGAATGACCAACAGGACTTGGTTGAACATAAGGAGAAACATTGTGGGAGACACCCTGTATGAAGACTTTCACTAAGGAGAGAGAGGCAAGCGATCTCTGTAAAAGAATCACTAAGGCTAAAATTTTACCCTTGATAGTACTAAAGGCCAAATGCTGACACAGACCAGACTGGGGAAAAGACAGGATTCATAAACGCAATAGTGAGTTGTTTCACTCCTGGAGATATACAGCTCTAAAATTACCCTTTTGATTGGTTTGTCTACCCAATCAGTAACCAAAATAAGCATAAACAAACAACAGATTCGAACTGACTTTCAAGTGAAGGCTGAATGGGGACATACCACAATGGTGGAAATTTAGAAAATGCTTTATTCTTATAAATAATGCGGAATACACACAGCCAACAGCTTGCTGTCAACTAAATTAAAACCAATGACAAGTCAAACTGACTATAAATGAAATGAGGATATTTGTATGTTTAGCAAATTAAGGGTCCATATATCCTACCAATCACTAATTCATTTATAGTCAGTTTGACTTGTCATTGGTTTTAATTTAGTTGACAGTTCAAATCGGTTGTTTGTTAACCCTTGAACTGCCTTCACTTGAAAGCCAGTTCGAATCTGTTGTTTGTAAAATACAGGATTCATCCCATAGAAAACTTCCTGGGATGGAATCGCCTTGCCTCACACCAAGCGGAATATGCCTTCCAATTGAGATGGTAGGCCTTGTGAGAAGTTGATTTTCTACCTTTGAAGAGCATAGGGATGAATCAGACCACACCAAATAGGTCCCTTTCTCTTAGGCCTGGGCTCCAACAGCCAAGCCATTAAAGCCAATGAATGAGAAGCAGGATACTAGACTGGCCCCTAGGACAGAAGGTCTGGATGATCTGGGAGGTCTTACGGAACGTCTGCCAGGAATTTGACAATGACAGAGTACCACATACTCCTGGCCCAGCGCAATGATGAAGCCCTCCATCTTGATGCTTCAGAGTACATACGGAAGGAGCTTTAGAGGGAGAAAAGTGTAGATCAGGTGGAACTGATCACAGAGTCACCAAGAACATTCACTGCAAAGGCCTGAGGATCCCTGGTCCTGGCCACAACAGTAGAAACTGGATGCAAGGAAGTCTAAGTCTGGCATCCCACACCTACAACAGAGCTCAAAACACTCCTGGGTGAGTAGACCAGTCTCCAGAACCAGACCTTGATGACTAAGGAAGTCCACCTACCAATTTTCTACACCTGGGATGTGCATGATGGTCAGAGCTGGAAAGGGAAGTTCTAACCAAGCCAGAAATAGGTCTGCTTCTCTTTGAGCTGCACAAACTCTATTGTCTTCCTGATGGTTGATGTAAGCCACTGTTGTGATATTGTCTGACTGAATCCTGGTTGGGTGGCCTTATAGGCCGAGGGGTCCAGCACTGACGAGAAAATTGAATTGCCCTGACCTTCAGAATATTGATTGAGAGCTTCCTCTGATTACCAAGTTCCCTGCACTGATGGAGTGTCCAGGACTCCTATCCAGCCTGACATGCTGGCATCCATTGACAGCAACCACAGAGCAGCAGGTTTTCCCCAATTCCAGCACTAAACTGGTGATCCACCACGCCAAAGAAAGTCTGGTCATGTTGGTTAGGACATGAGAAGATCCAGGGACTGAGCCTGCTTGTCCCACACTGCCAGAATGTTGAGTAGCAATGATCTGAAGTGAAACTAGACATAAGGAATTACCCCATAGGCAGTCCCCATTAAGCCCAGAACCCGCATACAAAGTGAATGGTTAGGTGGTTCCTGGACCTGTAAGGTCCAAACATGGGAGTTGAGAAGCTGGAGTTTGTTCAGGGGAAGAAAGACCATGGAAAGGACTGTATTTGAGATTAGGCCCAGACATACCAACTGAGGAGTCAGATTCAGCTCATATTTTTGGAGATTCACATGAATAAATCGGCAGGGTCTGCACTGTCCCTCGAAGCAGAGTGAGGACAGGGGATGGCACCTTGGTAAAGACGCAAGGCACAGTGGACAGTCCAAACAGAAAAGCAACAAATTGTTAATGTGGATACCCAGAGCAAAATGCAGGTAGCATTGATGTGCAAGATAAATGGGGATATGCACGTAAGCATCCTTAATGTCCACAGAGGCTAGAAGATCCTGGGTGAAGGGAATCAATAACTAACCAGGCAAATTCAATATGCTTCAGAGCATCATGAAGCATATTGTGACATGGAGCTCCTGTGACATGACAATATGGAGGTGACCCCTCATTCAAGGGAGGACTAGTTTCTGGACTTGGTAGGTTTGGTGGTCTAGGCCTTACATCAGAAACAGGGTCACGAGAAATGGCCCTGAAGCAGACAGCAAGGGTTTGGCAGATGGATGTGGTCACAACAGCAGGTTGCATAGCAGGGCCTGCAAAGTTGAACGAGGCCTTGGAAATGGCTTCTAACCTTTTGTCCTCAAGGTCCTAGAATACTGGGATATCCAATAAGGACCATTACAGCTGAGACTGGACACATCTTCAGGAACCCCTCTTCAATAGGATATTACACAGTATGGTCAAGGCCAGTGTTGGGGAACCTACAAATCGCAACATGCAACGGCCTCTGGGAGTCATACCCGTTGCCAAGAAACTTGCAATGCCTCATGGGATTTGTAGTTTCCCCACAGCTGGAGGTTTCCCACCCCTGCTCTAGGCCAAGGCACGTGTGCACTGCGTAAATAGGGATAGAAATATAATTATATTTGAGGTATATTAGTGGGCTGAACCTGCTCACATACAGATTCCTCTAAACCAGTCGAGATACATTCCTCAACACGAAGCAGCCAGAGGAAGAGATGGACTGGGAGAGAGAGAATGATGGGGCTCGCTTGCAGTCTCAAGCCTCCAGTAGAGCCTAAAAAGTTTCCCCATATTTTCAGGCACAGTGGCAGAAGATTTATTTTGTGATAAGGAGGGTATGCCTCTGAAGGGGTTAAAGGAGGTCCCCAAGGAGGATAGCGACTCAGTTTGGGGAAAAAGTGTTCCAGGCTTGATAAATCAGGACACTTATGGGAAATACTGCAGATATCTATGAGACATTAGCTGAGCACCTATCCACCATTGTATGTGAGGAAGGAGGACAGGAAGAGTTAAGTCTTCTGTGACCAGTCAATGTTGGCAGCAGGGAGTGCAGGGGAACTTTATATGTTAAAGAAATATAACAGACATTATCCCACTTTGGCGGCAAATGTGGAAATCCACTTTAAAGTGTATGCAAACCAAAAGCAATGCATCTCTTAATTGAGCTGTTTTATTATAAGAACAAGTAAAAATCGGAAAGATTGTTTATTTATTTCAGTAGCTATATGGAGTACCATTCCAATATTGTGTAAGTGTTTCTCTCCATCAACCCCCCCACCTCTTTAGCACATTTTGTTGAACTTTCAGATTTAAGAGATGAAAAAATGCAAAACACTCATAATTCTGTTCTCTTTAGTGCTCAGGTGTATGCTTGGAAGAGTCTATAGACCATGCTGGCAGATATGAAATGACAAAGGATAACAATGAAAAGGACATCGGCCTACCACTTACCCATGAATTAAATCAACAGATAAAGTGCATTTTATGTACATTTATTAAATGTAAATAAAAGTGATCTCTGCAATGTAAAACAAGTCATTTTCTGAAATTAAAACCTTCATGATAAAATGCAATAGCAAGAATAAAATAAAAAAACACTGCAAAACAAAGTCAACAAGTAACACAGAACACATGGTACACACAGCATTTCAACTATACAAAATCTACACCCGGAAAAAGCTAGTTAACTTGGCTTGTCCTACAATTAGCTTGTTCTTGGCTACAGCTTTACTGCTAGTTTTAATAGGGGCTGCCTTTTCCTTTGTTTTTGTTGATCCAGCAACAAGTTTCTTTTGTGGTGGTTCATCCTTATGGTAGTCTTGGTTCTCATCAGTATCCACTTGCTTTCTCTTTGAGCGCTTTTGAATGGACTCTTTACTGGATTTTCCCTTCACATCTTTTGAGTCAATATTGCTGGAATTTGTCCGTAAAGCTGTTTTTTTCTTGCTTATATCACCTGCAGCAAAAAAAAATGTAAACCGATTGTTCAAACTTGGCAGTTGGAAATATACTTTATTACTTAAAGTAAACTAGTTATTTATTCTGCCCATTACTTTAAAGAGGACCTGCTACTTTGCCCATGAATCGAAAAGCTGACCCCCTGATCCAAATATACTCACGTTTAGTCTTCCCTTGCCCATCCCTATTCTGTTGCAGCTGCAATAAAATGGCCAATGCTAGAGTATGAGGTGACATGTGACCATCACCCATGAAACAATGGGACAGGGGAAGAAGTGGGAGGAGAGTGCTGTGAAAGCAGGTATAACGG